CACCTACACATGTGTTCTTTACCATACACTATGCTACCACTTTTACTTAAGCAGCCGTCTGATCTCTGTGTACGGTTATTATAGTAGGTAAGGAGCTGGCACTTGAAGAAAAAGGGTGAGTGAAGACCAGGCAATCGACGCTTTAACCTTTTCCCTTTCTTGGCCTTTCTCTTCTCTTCTTTAAGATGAAACGTTCCTCAAAGGGTTTATACCTGGTGAGATTGAAGAATGGAGAACTATGGAAGATTGAAGCATGGCTAGTTCTTTCGGTTTCGTTTTGTGAAGAAAAGGAATGCTAAATGGTTTTCAAAAAGTTCTTACAGATATTTAAATTCAAATTTAAATTAGAACTGTTAACGGCCTGAAAAATAAATTCGAATTAAAATTTTAAGAAACGGTATTAAAATACGTTATTAAAGTTTGTATAAAGGAGTTAAATATTAATGGCCACACGTTATAAATTTAAAAAAAAAAGACTTGCTTTTTATCCCTTTATGTTCACCTTTTTGAACACATTAAATTGCACGTTAGAAAAATTTTTATTTTGTGACGCAAATAACATCAGAACGGTATGACGTTACAAATTTTTTATGTTGATTGCTTTTCTTTTGAATTTACAAATTTACAATTAAATATTTCTGAACCTCAGTTTCAATGAACCTCATTTCATGAACCTCAGTCGCAATACAACAAGTTATTATATAATTATTGATAAAATTTAGCATGATTCAAGACGCATAATAGATATTTATTAACCTATTCAAAACTTCTGCGAAAACAATTATATTTACTTCCACTTTGAAATATCTGAGCAACACAAAATTACTTTCTTTTTGATGTTCCATATAGTATATAAATATGCGAAGAATGATATTAAAAAATAATAAAACTTAACTTAGCTAAACTTAACAGTTAACTTTTAAAATGTGCAATAATGCAGAATTCCAATTTCCTAGAATCAACATTGAAAGTTCAAATATCCCTAGTAACACAAATCACTAAATTTTTCCCCTAAAAAAACTACGACGTTATATTCCTAATATAAAGTTGTCGAACTTGACTTTGATATACACAAGTTTTAAATACGACAAGTAAATATTTTTCATTGTTTGAAACAGAATAGAAAAATACTGTCATCATCGATGATTCATTAACTACAATAATTAAAATGACTTTGGAAACGTATTTTATTACACAAAATGTCTATTTAGATGTCGAATTGTTAAGAGATATTCTGGATTGAATATAGATAACCTGGGACCGGAGAACCTTGAACTATAATCGATGTTTATAAGATCGCCTGGGTTGTAGGAAAATGTGAAACATACGCAGCAGAGAAAGGAGTCACACGGCTGATTGAAAAAATTCTTTAAATCCTTTTAACCGATGATATAATCAAAATGAGTGTGAAACATTTAGCTGCTGGTAAAGTTCTGTTACTGGAATCTCATATTGATGTAATTACAAAATAATTTATTTTTATATTGTCGTTCTATAGGATCAATTGCCCCGCCCACTGTACCTGGAAAAATACGTTTGTATAGCATGAAATTTTGTCCGTATGCCCAAAGAATTCATTTAGTATTGGACGCGAAACATATACCGTAAGTAAGCTAGTTTTTAAAATTTTTTAAAATTCAATTTTTAAGATCTCGTATTTTCGCAAACAAACATTTAATGTATATTTTCTGTTTATTGTAATTTGCACATTTTTTTTATTTATATATTCATTAACTATTTATTTCTTTTAATAAGTTGTTTAAAATAGACTGTAGTTCTTAACTACACCATTTTCTGAAATATTCTTTGATTACAGATACGATGTTGTATATGTAAATTTAACAAATAAACCCGAATGGTTACTAGAGAAAAGTCCTTTGGGCAAAGTTCCTGTGATAGAACTGAAAGAAGGAGAAACATTGTATGAAAGTCTAGTGATTGCTGAATATCTGGATGATGCATATTCACATAACAAACTTTACCCTATTGATCCTTTAGCCAAAGCTAAGGATAAGCTATTAATTGGTAGATTTAACTCTGTTATAAATACTATGTACAAGGTATTTATTTTTCATATAAACATGTAATGTAAGATATAAATATGATATACTTACAATTGGAATACAAATATTTTGGTTTTAGTTATTTGTCAGTACATCTATAGACCTTGATGTATTTGATGAAGTCTTGTCAGAATTGGAACTTTTTGAGAGGGAACTTGCATCAAAAGGGACACCATTCTTTAATGGTAATTCCCCTGGCATGTTGGATTTTATGATATGGCCATGGTGGGAAAGGTCTGATGTAATTAGAGTTCTACGTGGAGATCAGTTTTCTATACCACGTGATAGATTCAAAAGGCTGGTAAGTTACAAATACATTTAATAAATGTAATATAATAATGTTCTATACATAACATGTAAAATATATAAATAATAAATTCTTTTTTGCTATTTACAATATTAGTTGGAATGGAGATCTGCCATGAAAGAAAATCCTGTCGTTCAAGCTAGTTATTTAGATACTGAAGTACATGCCAAGTACATGCGAAGTCGTCGTGCTGGAACGCCACAATATGATTTAACTACTGATTAAATTAATAACTTCTTACTTATATTCTCGAATATATACGTTCATAAATTAATATATTTCAAAATATATCATTATTTATAAATTGCTGCTAATAATTGAATGTCTATTATGAATTTGTTAAAAACATAATAGATATAAGTATAAGTTTTTGTATAAAATTTAGATATAAGCTTTTGTTTTTTTTTACCATTTGTGTAATAACTATGATAATCTGATTTTACATTACAAATGTATTTATGTGCTGTAAATAAAATATATTCTTATATTAGTCTTAGAGAAATTTAATATCCTTATACTTATACTATTTGATTATAAATGCAAAAGAAATTACATATTTGCAAAAAAAATTATTACTATACAGTGCGTTTTAAAATTATTCATTGTTTCTATAACAAATTATATCTTTATATTAATGATAATCCTACTGCAATACAATATATAGATTTATAAAAATCTATTAATATTAATATAGTTTGAATGACACTAAAAACTATATCATTTCTTACAATAGCCAATAAGTACAAAATTACAAAAAAATATAATACAAATATTGAATAATTGTTTAATATAATACACTAATATTTCATTCCTTAAAATTAACAATTTATATTGTTCCATAAAATATTAAGTACAATCCATAGAGCAGAAAACATGCAAAAATCATGCTTGCTGCTACCATGTAAGACTTTGTATTTTGTTTCCTCAAATTTTTTAATTTTTCTTCATTTTTTACAAGTACCTCCTGAATTTCCTCTAATTTTGATTCCAGTTCTTCACGAGTTTCCATTGTAAGTAATTTTGTTTTTAGTCTTTTTTTTAACACATCTAGTTTATACATAGATTCATTTAACGTATCTTCAACCTTCTGTATCTAACATACAAAAATGTTCATAAACATAGGTTAAGATAATTTCAGGAACTGAAGTACAAAATGTATGAAATCATTTTTATATATACCTTCGTCATAATCGTTTGATCTTGCGTCATTTTGATTCAAAATACGTATCCTTTCCTATTATATCAAGCACAAATTATCAACATTTTAAACATTCTGACGTTTCTCAGTGTAAAATAGTACAGGTACAGGTGTTCTTACCAACTTGCTAAATACAAAATGGCGTCACGAATTACACTTATAGTTACAGGGAAAATAAACTGTGAAGATAATTTTCATAATTTTTTACTTTCAAAGAATTTTAATAAGCAACTTGAAAATAATAAAGTTCTATGCATTTTTCTTATACTTTATGGAATTACATATTATTGCAAGCATAATGTACATATAGCTTGTATATATAGTATTTCTTATCTAAAACTTACAATGCAAAAGACAATCATGATTAATATTAACACTTTTGGATATAAATCGTTTAATCTTTATAAGATTGAAATTCATAAATTTTATTGTAATTTTACAAAATTATAAATATCATAAAATTATGTACGTAATATATATATACACACGCACACGCACACACACATATATATATATATGTATGCATATGTATCTTTTATGTCTAATCTACCTTCCATGAAAATTTATAACATAAAACTAAACACTTGACAATCATATATAAACGATGAATTTTAACAATATATGTACATCTTACAAGTAAATATATATATGATTATTATCATTAAATATAAAGTGAAACTAACATAAATATAAGGATTCTAGATTAAAAATGCTACTGAAATATAAGTACTACTTAAAAAATGTTTTAATTCTTACTATACGTGATATTATACATAGAACACAGTTTCAAAACGCAGTTCACTCGTCATCTCATACATACATTGTATTTATAGTTTCTGATAAATAAAATTACTCCACTTTCCCATTCATCTTTTTTTTCACATGTAGATAAAGTTAAATCTGCAATAAAAAGAAAAAAATATACTACAGTGATTAAATATGATCAATTTCGTTAAAAAGACATATAACAATTACCTGCAGAGTGATTGTGGTAAAGAGGAAATAATAGGACCATATCCTTGTGAATTATCATATAACTCAAATAATGGTGCAGCTACTAACTTATAGTTTTTAGGTACTGCAAATAGAGCTGAAATATTCAAGAATAATAATCACTGAATCTTACTTCATTTAATAGTATAGCAATATATAAAGTGTGTCACAAAACAGTCTCCATGATTTTTCAGACACTTTCAATAATCTAATAGAAAAATGTTCAAAACAAAGGTTAGATAGTTATATTTATATATCAACTATAATCCTATAAAATCCAAAAAATATAATGTTCTCCAAAAAAAGTCCTAAATACTGATTACTTTCTGTTTTGAACATTTTTTCAGTAAATTATCAGAATCTTGTATTTCTATTACCTTTTTCTTGCAACTGAACTAGAAACAACCTTTTGTGTTCCTTTGGTTTGGTAATGTGCGGAGGTACATAAGGATATTGAGGTGGTTCAAAATTTGGTCTCCACCAATTTCCAATGGTATCTTCTATCACCCATTCTTGTTTAACTCCATCTTGACGCCCAAAAGTCTAAAAGTTATTTTGATATTATAACATCTGTCATCTCAATTTTGCTACACTTCATATATATCAAAATACAATCTTCTTCGTTCAGTCCACTAAGAACATGGTTACACAATTTTCTTTACATACGGCTGTATAATCTTATTGTTTTAATTAACAATTAACATGATCGATGATTCCCTAATATATTCCTACTAGTTTCTATATAATCAGTAATATAGGTCAAAAGTATTTATTCAAATACTTTCAGTTTTCTTTGCTTACAGATACCTAATTAAATGAAACAGCTGTTGTACATACATTTATCATTTTAATTAAAAAATTGACAAATGTATAAATGCATATGACGAAGAATCACGATCCTACATATTTTAATTATTTCCTAATAAAAAGTTTTAAGACTAAATATTATTTAACACAATTTTTCAGTGAATCACAAGAAAAAGTTGTTAATGACACATATAATACAATCTTCTTGGTCATAACATTACAGTCTTCACATCTTGTCTTTTTAAGGGGCTTCTTATTTGAGTTAACATGTGTAACGAGCGATTTAAGAACAATGTTCTTAGCTAACCATGATATGTACAATGTAACAAGTTATAATTGTATTACTATAAACATTGAAATGTCCGGGCATGCAGCGCACTAAAAATGCATATGCTAATGTAATTAGAAATTCCCTATTTTGAGCTACAGGCCCGGTTACATAAGTTCTACAAATATCTGTAGGATTAATACAATCGATTCTTGAACAGTGTTACAATCTAACATATCAAAGTGCCACTCCTAGCTACCTTGTAAGGTAGCATAAGGCGTCGTGCTAACTGTTACCTCTGTAAGGAGCCGTTTTAGGCCCTCTACCTCGTCTTCTCCTGCATTTAGTTCTCCTCCGGGCCTACAAAATAAAGATACAAAAATATTTTAATACATTTTCATACATATTTTTTAATTAAATTAAATTAAATTTAATTACATTAAATCTACATATATGGAAAAATATTGGATTACATTGAGATTCCTAAAAAAAAAGACTCGTGATACAATCAGACGTCCCTAACTGAATTTAAATGCATATTTAATTAAGATAATACTTATACTTACAATTTGAAAAATGTTGTTCCCAATTGAAGCAGGAGGACATGTGGCAATCCATGTTCATGCACCAATAAAACCCCTTCAACACTCCGACGCATTCCAATTTTATCAAATTCATCTCGCATACGCTGAAACCTTGCTGGTACAGATGGATCTTTCTCGAAGAGTGGCTCTTTTGTTCCAAATGTATAGTTTGTCAAAGGATATCTATGATAAATGAGTTTTATTTTTGTGTTAGGTTTTTATTTTTTATGCATTTCTTCAGTAACTAAATCCAGTCTCTTCAATATCACTTTCACAAATAATATTACAATATATAATCATAAAGATTATACAGGTACTCACAATGCATTAGATAGTTTTGAACATATAATTTTGTCCCCAGCAATCCTTATATTAATTTTCACATTTTTATACAAGACAAAAAAATATGATTTTGTTCATGCAAGCAATAGGAATAACATACAGATTTATAATATATATAAAAAATAATTACTTCATATCTGACATTTTTCATATTTAAAAATGTATATACAATGAACAAAAATATATCTATATATACATATACAGTTATGAACAAGTATATATAGCAATTAATAAAAATATCCATGTGACTTACAAAGCATATATATAAATACAATGTTGTTCAATAAAATTTATCAAAGTATTTCTGTTTGCATACTAAATTTCTATATAAAAATCACAAGTACAAAGTATTAATTATAACAGATATATGTAAAATATTATATTACTTATAACATTACATTTTACATTAGTTATAAGTAAATTTTATCAAATATAGTCATATCCTTTGTTTAAGAATACATAATACATATATTTATGTTACTCTCATATCTCTAGAATTTTTTTTTATTACATGTATCTTGTAATTTGTGTGCTAATAGACTTTAGTTGCTTTCTTTCAAGATCTCTTGTAATACTTTTATACTATAATACTTGTAATACTTTTATACTATTTTATACTAGATATCTATAAATTTGCCAAAATATCAAAATATAAATAAATATTTAAAATACTTATACCTATATAATTCATTACATTGTACAGACTGAATTTATCATTTACTTATAAATATCAAATGATATTTCGTGACGTGTTTGCAAATGTATAATAAATATATTACATTTTTCAAGATATTGTTTCATTTTTGACGCATCAGTGAAGGATATAAATCTCAAATGCAATGTGCAATATTTCATTAAAACTTACTTGTTTTATAAAAAAATAATTAAAAACATTCACAATATCTATGCACATTATAAGATTTCTTAAATTAAGAATTAAATATAATTATGAACTATTTGAGACAAATACATTCATAGTAATGTACATATATAAAAAAGTGTTATATTGCAAAATTTATCTTACATAAAATATGAGAGGCCAATTTACTAATAAAAAAAAATACAAATATCTGTAGTTTTAACTATCATAGGTTATATAAATCTAAGATCATTGTAGTCTGATTTGCGAGATTATTTTGTATATTTTTCCTTTTTATACACAACAAAATAATTTGTAATATACAAATAGAGATAATGAATAATGACAATACAACTATTTTCAAATATATACGCATTACAAATTACCAGTCACATTATTAGCGTGACTGTGAAAAAATAATGAAACGTGTTTCTGTACGCAAACATACATAATGTATAAAAGAGGCCAACGTATATTGTACACGATGGCTACAACTTTTATAAATTTATAAATGTAATGTAATGGAAATTAAATTTTTCTTTTACTTTTTGATTACTGAAAGTAATCGATAAAAAGTTTTTATACCTTGCGCAAATAATGCACAAAAGGTATAACTTTCATACCTGGAAATTTTAAGCAAATAATCGCATTTTTAATTCGTAATTACAAAAATATGTAATACCGATCTAAAAACAAATACTTCATCAATTCGAAGATTTCATACTACATTAAGATAATTGGTTATGTTCTACAATAGTCGGTAATGAATTATTGAATGATCAATTAATCGATATATATGATCGACCTTATTGCTTAAAATTTCCATAATTACTTAACGAAAAGATGAACAGCCGTCTCATGGTTGTACCATGTAAGATGCATTGAAAGGTGTTAGGAACATAATTTTAATTGCTAGCGTCTCTTAACCGGCCATAGTTGTTCTACAGGAGAGGCAGTCAAAACATTAACTCTAAAAAATAATGTAATTAAGTCGCATATTGATTATCACTTACAAATTAACTGTCCTGTTGATAGTTACAGACTGGTTCTGAACCACCTTCCCTTCAAACGAACTGTTACTAGCTCTTCTTGGCCATCCACTTCCTTTAACTTGAGTTGTTGCCATCGCCATTTTTCTTCGTATACTATACTTCGTATACTATATACCAATGTCTACCTGTCCACACCAATGTCTACCCGCGCAATGGGCTACTTCGTTCTTTCTCGAATATCCCGTAATGTTTCGCGGGCTAAGCAGTGTTGCCAAAATTACGTAAATTATTTTAGCATTAATTATTCTACTTACATATCAAAAAATATGTTTATATATTTCTATTAATCATAATTTCCATATAATAATACAAAAATCTTTTATTATTATTTAGTGCATTAACACATTAATAATCTATCCTTGCATTGAACGATACAAATTTATATTTCATTGAACAAATCAGATTGAGAAGGTAAAGTCACGTGATCAAAATTTGTGGAAACTGGAAAGTTATTTCCTAATATTTGTCTCTTTAAAAAAGATTATAAAAGGAAAGATTATAAAGTTGCAAATTTATTACGATCTAATCAAATATATCAGATTTAATAGTTCAGTTAAAATATTTTCCACAATGTTCCAAAATCATGTTTGAAGATTATAATTCACTAGAAACTGTCAATAATACAAATATCACGTGATAAATACCGATTCGATTTATTAATTATATGTTCATTAACTAAAGAGACTTTATATCAGACTATCCAATTTATTTAATCTAAGTTATTTATTTATAAATTGTAATGGTATAAAAATACAGAAAAGATTAAATTGAAATGTAATAAATTTTTGAGCTCGAATTTTTGAACATTTATTACATTTTTGAGATGTTGGCAGCAATGAGTATATCACGGGGTTTACATAAGCGATCGCACGGAAAACGGCCATTTTAGAATTGGCTGAAGGCAGAAGGCGTTTGCGTTGGCGTTCATTGAGAAAGAAAATCCTTTTCTTATCGTGCATAAATTTGTATACGGCGTATAAAATCAGCATTCTCCTTATAAGTTCGGTAAGTTCGGTGAGTTTCTCAAAAAAATATATTCTGGTGTGCTTCTCAAAAATATATCGGTCAACATTTCCAAAATTTTTGAAATGGCGAATAGGCAACGAATAACTTGGAAGCAATTCTTGTTGTTCCAGTTCTTCTCTCTTTCTTTCACAAGACATTTCTATCATTTTTAGCTCTTATCGTTAAACAGACTTTCTTCACATCGTTTTCCGCGTTTCGGAAACTACGAAAAGTCGTTTCCTATCGCTTCGTTGCTGAATGCCACACACGGAAGGTACTCACCGATATATGGGAAGTTGTTCATGTTTTTTATTGAGATATGTTTAAGAATTTACATTTTTTTTCGTGAATTGAATTTGATATATATGAGATACAATCTTCTAGTGGATAAATAGATAAATACATTGGTGTATAATTTTACTCACTCTGTATAATACTGAATTAAATTTAAACATATCTATGTATATGTATATAAAACTATTTTACATATGTATAAATTTTGTTTTAATATTTTTGCATATATATAAATATTGTATGATAACAGAATTTAACAAGATTTCTTGTAAAAGTTAATAAACAGAATACAAGGGAAGAATTGAAAATTCTAAAGTTAAGAAGCAACACATTATATGTAAGAATTAAAATATTGTTGGAAATTAAATAGAAATTGAAACTTTATATTCATTTTATAGTTACAGTCTTTGTTTGTTATAAGAGGTTTATAGGTACAGTATGGAAAAAATGATGTGTGTTGCAGGATCTTAGGCAACTGAGTGTGTGTTAGGTGTCAAGATCAGGTTATTGGTCATCATCAGTGGACTTTATTACAATGACATGGTGCGCTTGACTCCTTTTCTGCTTCTTCATTTTATTATCCTTCGCTGATGGAGTGTTTGCTGCTTTGTTTTCATCAACCTCTTATCTTTCATCGTACATTTTAACTGAGGGTGAAGAAGGAAGAGATTTCTCAAGTATCTAAAGAGAAGGTAATGCTTCATAAGTAATGTAATAAAATCTAGCTCATAATTGTGGAGGAAAGTGTTGTGATTTTACTACAGGCTCATTTAGTTCTTCATTGTCTTGGAACATTCCAAGATGGTCATTGAGAGCTAAGCACCATTTTAAATTTATATTTTATGCAAAATATATTTTCTTTCCATTATATATTCATGCTATCTAATGAGAAACGGTAAGTAACATTGGGAATAATAAAGAGATCAAAAGCAAAATATTGCATAGAAATGGAGAACACTGTACATTTGCATGACTGTCTTTTATACGTTCTTCATTTTTTTCTTCTTTTTCTTTCTTTTTATCATAAATATTGATCATCACGTGCATCCTGACATTATAAACTTATCTTCATAAAATTTAAAAATTAATGACTTTTATTGAAATGCAAGTAAATGAACTTGAACAATATTGAATTACATATAATGGTGAGATGAGAAGTACTATGAGACAATAATGGGAATAATCCCTTTTGTCATTCATAGTTATGTTGTACTATATAACTTTGTTTTATATATATTTATATATATAGGATTTTTGGTGAATCATATGTTTTTTATGATTTTATTGAATCTGTTAGAAATAATCAATCAAACCTACATTCCTTTGCCTATACTTCTCATTTTTGCACAGTATATGAATAAATTCAGCAAAAAGATTTTTAAAAAAGACTACTGTAGTACAAATTTTAATTTTTGTTAAAAGTTAATATAGATAATTATAATCATGCACTCTGTTCATGTTGTATAAAATTGAATTTAAAGTATCTATTTATTATCTTAAACATATAAATTTATTTTTGGTAAATCCTTATTTCATTGTGCGCGTTTAAATACCTTGGGAAACTTAAATATGAAGCAACTATAATTATTTTCCTTTTTTTTTTTTTTTCATTCATTATGCGTAAAAAGGAGGTAAGTTTATGCATACAAATGAGAAAATTATCCACAAATAAAGTATCAATATATTTTGCAATATTCAAATTAAAATGCATATTTTACATTCACACAACTACTGTTGCAACATAAATTTGTTGAAAACAATTAAGAGATTTAATCCAACCATCTATTTTTACCGTATAAATCAAGTTTTACTTTGCTGCGAAAGAAGTAGTGGAAAACATTGAAGTCCAATTGAGAACGAAATGGAAGTCGCGCGAAATGGGCGTTTATAGCTATAGAATCGTGATATTTATCTACATGGCATAGTATTCCACTATAAGTTAAGCGGAGCGCAAAAAGCTGGAGTGTGATATCTGCTGCATTCCCTTCTCCCGGTTCTTCTTTGCTGTGAAGTGCAAGGTCCATTTCTCTTGCAAGGCCCTTGAAAGCTGGGAGTCATCGCCTTCTCATTCAAGTGCATTTTCGTTGCATGTTTCTGCGTGGACACACAGAAGTCATCGAGAATTACTCTGCAACAAAAATCTCCCTAACGCTCTGTTCTTCCTGTCACGTACTTTGCGCACTGCACCGGTTTACAAAGTGCAATTTGTTTCCTTTGGTTTAAGACACGCTTAACCACGCTGAACGAGAAGTGCATTGATGACAATGTGAATCTCTATTCGGCACCGTGGCGTTTAAGTTTACGAAAATTATCCACGTTTTTACGTGTTATTCGTAACATAAATTAAAACTACATAAATTGCGTCAATCGTAAAACAAACTTTTATTAAAAAAAAAAAAAAATAATCTCGTCTCTAAATGTTAAACGTAAAACACACATAATACCATAGAACTCGGAGCAACGTTCTTGGACTCATCACATTAAGAAATCGTATTAAGCAAGTATCGTTAGCATGATTGTTCCGTACTACGTCGCAGAAAGTATCAGTTCTGATGCTGAACGATAAGGAGAGAAACACACGGATCGAGTGTATACGTGGACTGTGGCAATCAAGTTATGTCTACACTACGGTACATCGTATTACTGACGACGTGCAATCGTGCATACAGAGACAGAGAAAGTTTTGCTACTGTTCGCATCTACTGGGCCATTATATATCTTATCGATATTTCTAATAGCTATCTCTTAGTGTCTAAGTCTAATTTTCTTAACGCGAGATCGCGTTATTATCGTACGGTCGAAGAAGCTTCAGGATTTTTCACGATGTTCGAAACTTCTTTTGTTTCACAAATATCTGCAGGGGCACACTCACGAAAGCGCATGTAAGTAAATAAGAAATAAAAATCAAATTCTCGATAAACCGATTTCTCTAGATTGAAGAAACGTGAATACAAGCGAAGTTTCGAATTTTTTCAATGAATTTAAAAATAGATAAGGTCTCTCCCTTGCAACGAACAAAAAGCAAGAGAGAGAGAGAGA